CCCCAAAACCCCAAAACCCCAAAACCCCAAAACCCCAAATCTTAAAAATATTTTAAAATTTATTACCATCCATTATTAGAAAAGATGCTGAATTTAGTTGCCAAGAAGAGATTTACAAGCTTGTTCCCAACTGGAGTGAGGAGTTTTAGCTCCACCCAAAATGAGGTCCAGTTGTTCGGCCATAAGGTTGCCAGTCTTAATGAGAACTCGGATAAGCACATCATTTTCCTACACGCACTCCTGTGCCAATCAAGGCACTGGAGATCCTTCGCACTTAATGATGTGTTCAGCAGGAGAGCTCATTGCCACCTAGTTGACCTCAGGAATCATGGAGAATCTGACCAGAATAGCGACATGTCCTACTCAGCCATGGCTGAGGATGTTCTCAGGTATGCTGATAGAGCAGAAATCGATACTTTTGATGTTCTTGGCCATGCCATGGGAGGCAAATTGGGCATGATCATGGCCAACTTGTACCCAAATCGTGTCAATAGCATTATATCTCTCGATGCTCTTCCTTTTGACCATAATAAGACCGATAGTAACATTCTGAAGAGCAACATCAAGGTTCTAGACCAGCTTCTTTCCCTAGATATCGAAGGTAAAACTAGGAAATCAGTGATTGACATGTTGAATAATGAATTCTCTGACAAAGGAGTAGCTACTCTTGTGTCTATGAATATTATTTATGATGGAGAACAAAGTAACACAGTCAAATGGTGCACAAATATCAAAGCTATTAGAAATAATATCGGTAAGACTTTTTATAATATCTTAAGCCTTTCTTAGAGCTCGACTAATAACTTTTTAGAGAAAATAATTGGATATGAAGATCATGGGCTATCAGATAAGCCATTCTTGGGCATCTACGGTGATGCTAGCAAGATGCTAATCAACAAGATAGCCACAAACCCAGACTCCAAAATTACAAAGGATCATTTCGGTTATTCTTCAAAAGAAATGATTGTTGAGATAGAGAACGGTGGCCACTGGCTCCACTTAGAAAGACAGACTGAGGTCACGAAGCATATCGGATTATTCTACTCAGAGATTGATAACCAGGAGTAGAACTCCTTGAGGATTCCTTCAATCCAATAAATATCTAACGGGGTTTTGGGGTTTTGGGGTTTTGGGGTTTTGGGG